AAACTAAGTTTCATCAAAATCAGCTATAAGGATTTTGAATAAGCAATGAAAAATCGGTTTTTTCTTAAAAATTGTATCTCAAAAACCAGAGCAAGTTAGGACATTTTATGTTCGAAGAAAACAAAAATGTTCCTCTTTCTCAGAGTATCTCTAACGTACCTGGAGAAAATGTCTATAGAATATTCGAACAATACAATCTATGATAATTCCTGAATAACATTCATAGAATATAATGGAATATTCTTGAAATGTTCCGAGAATATTTGGATGAAATTTTCCATGAATATTCTCTTAAAACATTCCATGAACATTCCAAACATCCTCATCATATTCTATGAACGTTCTTCGGAATATTCTGAAGGAGGTGTGTTGTGAACGAGGGGTGAACCGCGGTGGAATTCTGGTGTACAAACAACTGGAATTCCTTGGATTTCCTTGGAATTCCTTGCATTTCCTTGGAATTCTCCGGAATTCCTTGGGTGAAATGCGATATATTCATGGGCGACAAGCAACTGGAATTCCTTGGAATTCTTGGGAGTTTCTTGGAATTCCTTGGATTTCCTTGCATTTCCTTGGAATTCCCCGGAATTCCTTGGGTGAAATGCGGAATATTCTTGGGCTACAAACAACTGGAATTCTTTGGATTCCCTTGGAATTCTTTATATTTCCTTGAGGTTCTTTGAGTGAAGTGCGGTATAATTCTGGTATACAAACAACTGGAATTCCATGGAATTCCTAGGATTTCCTTGGAATTCCTTGGATTTCCTTGGAATTCCTTGAATTTCCTTGGAATCCCTTGGAATTCCTTGAATTTCCTTGGAATTCCTTGGATTTCCTTGAAATTCCTTTTTTTCCTTGAAAATCCTTGGATTTTCTTGGAATTCCCTGGAATTCCTTGGAGTCTCTTGGAATTCCTTGTGTGAAGTGCGGTATAATTCTGGTGTACAAACAACTGGAATTCCTTGGAATTCCTTGTGAAATTGAAGTTTGGTGTACACAATTTCGACCGCGCTTTACCCTTCGGTTGTGAACGTTGTGGGAACATCACCACTGATGAAATCCCTGTTTTTTTCTTCTAATTTTCCAGGGTGAGGTCGACAGCATGCAGCGATGCCCGTACATCCACGAGATGAAGGAGCGGCTGCTGGGCGACCAGATCCCCATGGAGATCATCCCCGCCAAAAAGATACCCACCCCGCCACCCCCGCCTTTCGTCGTCGACCAGCCGCTGCCCTCAAAAACTGTCGCCACAGTTGTCAAAGTAAGAAGAAGAATATTATTAGAAGAAGAAGCAATACAAGTCCCAAAGTCTGTCGACCACGAAAAAAAGGGCAATTCGTCTCGTGGGTGATGCCTCGCTCACAAACTCACTCACTTCTCTGGAACACCGTAGAAAAGTTGGCGATCTGGCTCTATTTTATAGATATTTTCATGGACGATGCTCTTCTGAAATATCAACGATTGTTCCTCCCTTGGCAGTCCCGTCGAGTTGAGGCTTCGCACCCCTTCGGCCTCCCTTGGTCACTTCTCCTCTTTTCCTTCTCTCCTAAAGCCCAACCTCACCATAGTGCGGGGAGGACAAGCCGCGACTGCTCGGCAGATTGAGCATTTTGGGAACATCTTTGCTGTCATCACTCAGATGGGACAGTTTTGTGGACATCTGAGTGCGAGGATGGGGCAATTTGTGAACATCTGCTTATGTGGCCGCGGATTGATAACGAGGCTCTGGCAATCCCCTCAGGGGCTCACAACTTGTGAGTACGGGAATGGTGAACCCGAGGTACCCTAGCCGGATATTCACCATACTTCAACTTGTCTTAGGTGATATCCTCTTCTCTCTTCCGTTTTCAATCTTTCTATCGACCTTTCTTGGCCAACTTCTCTTTTCCACGGCCGCTTGACAGATGAAGCATTTTGGGACCATCTTTGCTATCTTCTGCCAGATGGGACAATTTGTGGACATCTGTGGCAGGGATGGGGCGATTTGCTGATGTCTGTCTAGGTGGTCGAGGACTGGTCAACGAGGCTCTGGCAACCTAATCCAAGCTGTGGGAACCCGTGGCGATGGATGGATGGCACCGAGGAATGGTGTCGCTAACGGGGCCTCTGGGAAACAGGGCGACATCCCAGAGTAAACAGCCTTAGCCCTGTGCAGGGGGCACCACAGGGCTGGACCAACCCCTTCCCCCGTCACTCGTAGGAGAAGGAGAGCTTTTGGCCTTCTTCGTAGACGAGAACAGGGATCGGAATAGCAATATTCAGGGACCTGAACAAGAAGGGTCTTTCATATTGAAGTGGCCCTTAATAGGCACCATGAGTCGTATGTGGTAAAATTGACAACGGCATGTAGGTGAAATACAATGGGCCACTAGGCCTAAGTGTCGTCGGAGCCTACAACGGGGTGGAGTGTTTAGTGGGTATACCATGGAGGGGACTCCCACACTATCATATGGGGGATTGGACCCATATGATGTCTATAAAAGATTTCAACCACCTCGGCGAAAAAAAAACCCTTCGTGGTCACTTTGGATACCTGCAGGACAGGAACAGCGAGGCTCTGGAACACATTGTCAAGGGAGATGTTCTTCGAGGCATATAAGCTCCAGAAATTTAAGAAAAACACCAATTCGAACCTTATTTCCCTTGGTTCTCACGATGTTCTCTGAACATTACAGGATATCCATTTTCGTGGGAACCAGAACGTAAAAAAAGGCCATCATCAAACACAAAATGATGTATTCGGAAGTACCTCAACAATACATATTAGGAGCAAAAAATTAAATCGAAAGCCTAGGTCGAATTTAACAATATCAGTCCTGGTCGTGGTCGACAGCAGACTTTAGGACTTTCATTGTTTTTCCTTCTAAAAATCAATTGGAGAGAGGGTGGTCTAGTGGGTATGGAAAAAAATCCAATCATAGGATTTCATCTACTTCTGATGTCTGTACATTCCATGTCATTTTCCGAATTGATTATCAACCCCAAAAATATTTGAGGCTGAGTCAAAAGTTTCCGTTTGTAGCCAATGCACTCTGCTAATTTTTCTGCCCAAATATGCTGTGACGTCATTGATCTGATTTGATCGGCTTGCTCTGAGCATCGACAAGGACAAAAATGAACAGACCTATAGATATTGAAGAACTGATCTAGAGCACTCTAGAGTTTCAATGGGGTTGTACTGGTTGTCCCAAATTTTTTGATTTTGGCAGTTTTTCCTGTTTCCAGAACCCCTAGAGAAAAAGTGAAAACCGTACTTCGATATCTCTAATCGTTTCAAAGATATTGGCAAAAATTGACATGTAATCGATTTCGAAAAAATTTCATAAATTTTTTTCATTTGTGGATATTTTTCTGAACGGTAAAAACTTTCTACAGGTACTTTTATAATATAGCATGAGATACATCTGCCTAAAAAATATATCGCTTATCAATTGTTTGCGGTATGAAAGCCAACTTTATTATTTAAAATAGAAACCATAGTTTGCTTTAGAAAACCAGAGGACAATAGTCTTTCCAAAAAATATATAAAATGAAGAGATTTTGTATTTCGTGTAAAATTTATTATGAAATCGCAAAGTGCTTTCGGCTAAAAAGCCATCATCAGTGGATCAGTGCTAAACTCGTCAAGTATGTATTTACAAAAAGGTCCAAAAGTTAGTGATCGACGACATCATTATGGTACAAACGGAAGTAGGAACAGACATACATTTAACAAAAAAGTTCCCTAATGGGTTATTGTAAAATTTTTCAAAAATACATTTTAAATTGTTTAGTTCAGGTCCAGGAAGAGCAAATATATGTCAGGATATATCTATGTAGTTATACTTGCTGTCAATATAACCTATTTCTCTTTGATAATAACAATTTAAAATTTCCGAACCAATAACTAATAATAATGTTTGAAAATATTATAAGTTGCTGTAATTCTAAATGCTGCAACTTATATAAAATATAAGTTCAAAAATTTTGAACTTTCTCAAATTATAACTCGAAAATTCATAATATCTTCCGTTTGTATAACCCAACACTTCAAAGACTCCAACTGCTTTCGGCGATAATTCGATTTTTTTCCAATTTCGTCAGCCCTCCCACGCAGAGCTCACGCTCTATCGTACATTTCCTTATAATTTCCGTTTCTTTCTCAAATTCCAGTTGAATTCTGATGGATATGGTTCTCACACCTCCCCAACGAGGACCTTGAAGCATGAATGCACACCGCTCATGCCGAAAAAAGTCGAAAAGGAATTCCAGTTGGTGCATCGGAGAGTTCAGCCGAAAAACGCCAAGTGAGTACCTGCAGTTCTGGTTACTTGGACAGGAAATAAAATTCGCCAGGGGCGGCTCTGAAATGAATAATCATTATTGTTACACCGTTATGCGAAGGCGATAAATTTTTTTCTTAACCCAGATATACCTAAATCTTTTTTGAGGAAATCAGAACATTGAATACTCCTTATTTCATCTGACTGTGGTCAAAATAAATGGAGTGTGGATTTTATAATTTTTGTTCATTGAGAGATGGAAAAATCTGGCCGTCCTACATTTAGGACAATAGGCACATAAGGATGACAATTGGAACTGGTTATGTTTTTTGATAATGCATGATGAAACACTTTGTGTGAAGTCCAACGTCAGTATTTGAGCACCTCGTAGTAGTATATGTTTGATAGAACAAGGCACATCGAGTTTGGTTGACATGTGGAATCACTAAATCATCAAGTCAGTGATATCTTCTATCATTCTCTTACCTTTCTGTCTTTGTTGATTGTCTCCGTTACTAACCCATTCTTTTCATCTCTTTCTCTTCTCCAATATAATACTCTTTTGCATGGAATTCGAATATATCAACTGAGAATGAATCTCCGATGAGGCTTTTCATCTCAGATATTTAGATATTGCCTTTTTTATTTTTTTGCTGAATATACTTTTGTTATAGTTTCTCGCATTATCAGTTCCAGAAAAGGTTTGTCGAACAATTTTGAGAATAATCCCAGTGGGCCAACAGATTTTTCATTTGTTCTTCATTATCAATAGCATTTTATAGTGGGCAGATCAATGTTTCTTCATTTACTTTCTTGGATTTCTTCTTCTCTTCCTCTATCATTTTTTTTATCTCATATAATGCCACATCACCCTCTGAAGCTGAACTTTCAACAACACCAACCTGACCTTCATTGTGACAAAAATCCAACTCAAGAACTCAATTGGAGCGCGAATTTCAGATCCTGGCATCCTGGCATCTTTTTTATTGAAAAGTGTTCTCGCCCGAATCGTCATCTGTCAACGCAGTAATTACGTTGATTGGAGGAAAATTTTTGTATCCAGCATCAGATTCTTCTAATATAGCGATTGCTTCATAGAATGAAAAACATCTATCAAATGAGAAAAGTTCATATAGCTGCCTAATGTCCTATATGTAGGACGGCAACAATAAACCCGAGATATAAAAATCAAATATCATGCTCAAAACAATGATACGGCATGTGAAACATATGTTATTCACCTGATCATTGAGACCACAAATTGGATTTGAACATAACTATAAAAATGAAAAAATAACTCACCAAGAAAAGCGTACATTTTATTTATCTGAAATAACCCTACATCAAACTGTTGTTGAGCACAAATCAAGCTAGTCTGTGAATATTTTTGACATGTCCATAATCATTGTATGAATGCGTAGTCTTGCTATATATAGAAATATGGCGCTAGTGTTGAAAAAAATAGAGAAAGCATAGGTATGTACTACATATAGGACATTATAGGCATATCTGGGTTTATAGAGTTGAACTAATTTCACTATCCATATTGAATCAGCTCACTCTTACCAATTTATACCTCGCTCTGAGGAACATCAATATCAACATCAGAAAACAAATTGTAGTCAACAACGGATATAAACATTGATCAGATAGAGAATGTTCTTTACAAGAAACTCCATAAAAAAGGAATTCAAGAAGTTTATTCCACCATCTCATCAGGAACAATAATCAAATTCATAATAATATAGCACTTGAACCTATTCCAAACAGCGGCGGATCCAGGGGGGGGCACCAGCAATTACCCCCCCTTTCCCGAGAAATTGAGTTCGACAGAATAATCTTGCCACTGAGCTCTGATAGCCAACCAATGTACCACATATTTCATATAGCCTTATATCCTTTAACAAATATATAGAAAATTACTGTTTCTTTGAGCCGCGCCTATTACAAAAACCAACATTGGATTCAAAATCAGGAGCTGACGCATCAGTGAATGACAATTTTATCTTCACTGGACTAGAAGAAAGAAGAGAACATTGTGATAGATATTTTTCGTAGTATGAAACAGTAATATCTGCTACATCTGATGTACAGATTGATCCAAAACTAACACTAACAAGACTTTATAGTTGCTTATAGAGATGGTTCATCAAAAATAATGAAGAAAACCCTTGTGAATTCGAAAATATCCGGGAGTATACAAACTAAACGGTGGATATTGTCCTAAGGTGTATATTGGTCAGACAGTTAGAATGTTTAGCTACCGTATTTACGAACATCATAGGAAATTTTGCGTGTAGAAAATTAAGGAATAATACTTATTCATTTGGAATCATTATAAATCAAAAAACGAATGTGATTTTACTTATTAAATAGACCTGAACACTGTAGGTCAATCTGGAATACAAAAAAAAATAGGCCTCACAATTCACCGCTTTCAAATTTGTTTCCTTATAGTAGAACAGTAGGAAATATTAACATGAAGTTCAAAACCCGACAAAAGTTTTACCAATGGAATACAAAATATTATGCACTGAGTGCGAGCATCGAATAACAACCTACTATTCTTTGCTTCGGTATCCTTGTTGGTTGATGATTATAAAAATTCCAATTCTCCAGAACCCAATGGAATTTCGTTTAAAAATTGCAATATGTGTGTTTGTTAACAGATGTTGTAACTTTTGATGCTTGTGTTTTCTTTAATTAATTTCACGAGATTAGAGTTCCCATACTGAAGTCATAAATGCCATATTTTCATAAACAATAATTCATTTATACAAGGTGAGTCATAACTATTGGGACAAAGGCTAAGGGCGAATTGTTTGGACGAAAATATGGCGATAGCACCAAATATGCCTTCGTAAAATATTGCTGTTGAAAAAGATAACGGGCGTTGAAGTTGAATTTTTGTTTTCGTTCTTTGCTAATAATTTCACTGTATATTTATCAATTTGTTATAAAAACGGCACTAAAAGGCATGATTTTATATAGGGAATATTAGTTTATGTATTATTTATTCAACAGTTTGTTACAGGGGACGAATGATCCCTGTTGATCAAATCGACTGGTAATTTCTTTGGGGAAACTTTTCAGTGATATTGATTTGAAAATATGACATAAACATTATTTCTACGAAATATTGGTACTCTTGTTTGAACAGGATATTTTCATCCGTTTTCGAGAAAAACGCAATTGAACATTTCAAAGTCTCGGAAGGGGATTTCAAATATTATTTAATTTATGAAGAGTGTGCTTTGGACTGTAAAATAATTTTTGCTGGGAAATGACATTTCTTGTTAATGACTAAATTTTGGTGCGACCTTATAGTCAATTCTTTTTTTATTGAAACGCCCTGTACCTTTCTTCACAGCAATATTTTATTGAGGCATATTTGGTCCTCTCACCATATTTTGGTCCAAACAATCTGTCCTTAGCCTATGTCCCAATGGTTATGACTCACCCTGTAGATTGAAGAAAAAATAGTGTGCGGCCAACCTTTATATGATATAAGGATCTAAGAGAGATGATGAATCTGTACTTATCAGTATGAAGCCCACACAAATCATAATTGCATAGATAATGTTTTTACATTTCCCTCGAATATTTTTTTCTGACCTAACTAACTTGCTCAAGTTGAAATCACCCTATATACTCATCGGAGTAGTATTCAGAGGTGATTAATTTCTTCAGCTAAGTATCGTTGATTTCCATCATAATAGAAGTCCCATGTCTGTTTCCTGATTCTCCTGCTACTAACGGACAAAACAAATCGTGACTAGTTGTAGAAAGGTCGCATAATAATAATATAATAATGCACCCCAACAGGAAATGAAACTCCATGACGGTCATACATACAGTGTTGCCACATGGATTTCTTCTTCCTATCTTCAATTCGGCACCTCTATAAATAACCATCCGCTTGAAAAAATTATTTGAAATCTGGTCATCCAGTATATTTGATTATGCTTTATGCTATTTATCATATGATAAATGTATAGGGCGATAGCAAAGTGTACATGGACTTTCTTAGTTGAATAGGGACATATTTCGTGACATCCAATTTATTATATACCATATGGTCCATATGCATAAATTTTTGACCATGTCTTCTGAGTTGTTAGCCGTAAAAAAGTTAATTTACACTTCGGTATCACTCTGTACTAAGTATTGTGAATAATACCTATATCTTATTACGGACGTTGCATGTCAAGATAGGCTACCATTTGAAATTATTTCGAAATATACAGAGTGTCCCCAAAGAAAAAACAATCCACTGACGTTATACTTTTTTTAATAGAACACCCTTTATATTATTTCATTTCGAGATTCTCCCGGAATAGCTGATTTCAACGACCCATCGTACTTGGGGTCTAGCAGTAATAATTACTGAGATATAGGGGGTGAAAAATCGAAATTTCTGAGTTCAGGAATTGTTTGCGGCGAAACTATTCATAATTGGTCAAAATGATTTACATATCCCTATCCCATCTTTTTATTTACTATCGATTGGTATTTAATTAAAATATATACAGGGTGGTCATAAATCTCAATTCTGAACCACCCAGTATTTGTTTTATTCGAATATCAATTGATATTGGATAAAAAGTTGAGATAAGGACATGTAAACCGTTTTGACCAATTATGAATAGTTTCTACACAAAAAATTCTTGAAGTTGGAAAATCTCGATTTTTCACACCCTATATCTCAGATATTATTACTGCTAGACCCCAAGTGATATTGGTCAATAGAATCAACTCTTCAGGGAGAATCTCAAAATAAAATAATATATAGGGTGTTCAATTAAAAAAGTTTAACTTTAGTGTTTTGCGGTTTTTGGGGACACCCTGTATGTTTTGAAATAATTTCAAATGGTAGCCTATGTTGACATGCAACTTCCTAGAGAGAAAAAATTCCAAGAAGATGAGTGGTTAGTATTCTAGAGACTGAGGCGTTACTGGTGGCCTTCCTTGTATACTAGGTGACCAAATTTCAAATTCAAAGGACAAGGTGTATATACACGTTT